GGGGGGGGGGGGGTTGAGCCACTTGTTCCAGCGCCTTCTCTTGTATGAATCACAGGATTTCCCTGACAGAGATCGCCTTGTCTCTTTTCTCTCGAAGCCAATCAAAACGACAAAAATTTGCTTTTTTTCTCGCTCTCATAGAAAGTCATAGAAAATCCATGGATAGCTGCGAGACTCACGGATGTCTCGGACTGCATATGATGGACTTATGAAGTCTACATGATTAATGCGCTGAACAACACGCGCTGCCACAAGAAGAATCAGCCAAGCGAAGTAAAGGTGACTCTCAGAGCCTTCTATTTGTCTGTTTTTTGTGGCAAGCCGCAACGAAGAAGGGGACAAAGACGACACAGATCTGCTCTTACAGACACATAAACACCTACATGCCTCCTTTGGCACACACGGGACAGCACTTTAAAGGAGAACAACTCTATCCAGCACAACACACAAAAACATACATACATTTATGCAGGCATGACAACCCATCTGTCATCATATCGGATACACAACAGAATACACATACACATAAAACATAGAGAGAACAGAGAGAGAGAGAGAGAGAGAAAGACAGAGAGAGACAGAGAGAGACAGAGAGAGACAGAGAGATAGAAAGACAGAGAACAGAAACAGTAAGACAGAGAGACAGCGAGACAGAGGGACAGACTGGGAAGGCAGATATATCCATACATCTGTGTCTCGGCGGTGTACAGAACTTGATTTTGGCAAAGTATGGCCGTTTCCCGCGAGCGGGAGAGCGGGGCGCTCTCCGCCACAACAAAGAGAATACCAGCCCCGCTGCGGGGCTGTGAGATGGCTGGCTGGACCTGGGTTCTGAATGTGTGTGTCATGTTGCATGTCTCACGCTTGTTTGCAGTGTGCGACATGTTTTCACAGTCGACGAACGTTGTCCATTGTTTCTGCATGTATTGTTTCCCTTCGCTTACTTGATACGAACTGATGCTTAGACGAACTTCGTCGCCCGTTTCATGCATCTACTTGAAGGGAAAGAGCACCTCACCGAACCACCGGGGAGACATTTTAAGAAATCACGCACGACCGGGGGGCGGGAGGTACTGAGTGGGCGGAAGGTAGAAACAACCCACCTTTTGACGCAGGCCAGTCTTTCGATGGTTGCTTAGGGAGGGGATCGAAAGCATGGGCGACCAGCACGTCTGATCTAGAGTCGGTATGGATTTGCTCACGCAAAGACACAAGCAATCGCAGAAACACATGCGCACCATACGGCATGGATGATAGCAGCACTCTGATATAAACCGAACAGCCCATCAAACGCAATCACACAAGCGACTATCACATGCCCTACCAAACCACCCTGCAACCCAAGCCCGACCCATAACAACACGTCCCCAAATCAATCCCTCACGGCCGGTCCTGGCAGGCAAACGTCCGGGTTTGTGCCCTGTAGGGCCCTCGAGAGATGAGGTCTTCAGGAAACAGACCCGCCCGCTGCTGTGTCCGAGCATCGGCCGCATGATGAGCGCGGCAGGACACTTGAAAAGCATTCCAGCGCATCAGCGCGACCGACAAACACTGCCCCCAATGGTTCATGACACCCTCATGAAAAAATGCACGGTCTTCTGCAGAGCTGGCGGGTGGGAGGACGCGCCGCTGCGCCAGACGGCGAAGCAGAGTGAGGGTCTCGCCACCCCAACGGCCGAATGTCTCCGCTGCTAGGGGCACGAAGGTGTAGCCTTTCTGCCGACAGTTGGCACCGTACTTGCGATCTTTGTCGCGCTCCGCCCCTGCAGCTGCAAAACCGCCCGGCCGACGTGCG